GTCAGATCAGCTGTTGCCAACCGACTGATAATCTACAATGGCCACAGTTAACCGTTGCTGCTGCCTGTACCCATCACTTTGTAACAATGAGCAATTTTGTCTTTTAGGTTTAACAGGACAATCAAAGTGAAAAAATACAATAAATTAAAGCCGCAAGCGGCGATGGTCGGGTCCTCGCACCTACGCTTGTCGGCCTTTGCGCACGGCGGGACTGTGATCCGGCATGTCGAGTTTGGGGCAGATCGGAGCAAGTGCGGCCTAGTTACGAGCCACTTCCTGTTTAGTGGCGAGCTGCGGCGGCGTGCGTGTTGGCCGGGGTGGAAACGCGCTCTGGCTGAGACTCGGAGCACGCGTGTAAAATTTCAGGCCGATTGGAGCACAGACACAGCACGTCTCGTAAGAATCTGCAAAATTGTCACCGTGTTTTTTCAAAATAACGGACTTCCTGTTGGGGTTAGGGCTTGGTGCTGATTGACTTTTTTGTGCGCCCTGACCTGCTACACATGCCCAGCGAATCTTGTAGCTGTAGGTGAAACGACCATCGGACAACAGTCAGTTGAACGCAAAAAACCCAGCGAAAATGGACAAAATGGCCATTGATCCAAATTGGACGGGCCACCATTTCCAAACCGGGCCTCATCTGCGAAATGTTTTGATAACTTTTAGTCACCATGTCATGTAGTTTGTGCCTGCCAAATTTCAGGTGTGTACGACGAACCCCCTAGGAGGAGTTCGACTTAGAAAATGGCAAAAAATGGCCATTTTTGAGCAAAAATGGCCCGGCATGCTCGCCGTTTTTCCAACATGGCGGATTTCCTGTTGGTTTTACAGAAACATGCTAATGGACTTTTTTGTGCGTCACGAGTTGTTACACATGTGTGGCGAAGGTCATAGTTGTAGGTGAAACGTAGCCGCGATGGGACTCCGTTGAAATATTGTAGGGGGCGCAGTTGAGCCGTGTTGCATTTTAGAGGGTGGTGCGGAGATATAGTTTTATTTGTGCCGATGAGCTCTATATGCCTATGAAATTGTGTAGTTCTAGGTCAAACGTGCTTCCGACGGGACTCCGGCGAAATTTTCAAGGTGGCGCTGTGGAGCCATTTTGGCAGTGACATGTCCAAGTCCATTAAAATATCAAATTTTTCGCCAGTCCTGGTGTGTGTGGCGATTTTGGTGACTTTTCGAGCATGTTTAGGCCCTCAAAAACGCGTTTCATTGTCCGGAATAATAATAATAATAATAATCCGAGCAGTTCCAATAGGGTCTTCGCACCCTTTTGGTGCTCGGACCCTAATAATAATAATCCGAGCAGTTCCAATAGGGTCTTCGCACCCTTTTGGTGCTCGGACCCTAAATATTAAAGGAATAAGAAAATGTGTGCTCCTTGAAATAATATTAACTTTAATAGCAGAGAAAACATCTGCACAGTCTCAAAGACTGAACAGCAAACATCTCAACTCAAGTGGTGTATATTGTGATACACTGAAAACACAATTTAATTTCTTTCCCATTTCATCTGGTTCAGTACTGCAGACTATAGCTCTCTCTCTGAAAGTAACTATTTCCCTTTAATGTCATTTACGTTTAAAGCATATTAACGAACCTCACATCCAATGTCGTTTGTTGCCAGGGTGCACTTACACACTGTTTTCCATGGAAACATAATCTATGTTGAAAGGAAAAGTAGGTACTGACCTTCTCGTCTTGCCCGTCTGCAGGTCCCACTCTACAATGTTTGTGTCATCTGAGCCACTGTATAATAAGGTGTCTTCAGGGTGCCACTGGACACAATTTACTCCTCCACTATGACCTCCATCCTAGCAGAGACAAACACTTCAATAATTAGCATTACACTTTAGGTGCAAACTGAATGCAATCCCAATGTTTTAAAGTGATTAATAATTAATTAATGTTTCAAAATCAATTTTGAAAAAACAAAAGCATGTTTCTCTTCCCAAGTTATATATCATGAGTAGTTTATGAAATTTGCTTTGACAATTAGGTTCGTTGCATGTTCTGCAACACATCTTTTACTCTTCAGCATATGCTAAACAAGCCGTACTTTGCAAAGTGTGAAAACTGTCAAACTCACCAGAGTACAGTGCAGTGCTCCTTTTACTGTACTGTAGATGAGCACACTGCCAGCTGCTGTACCCATTGCCAGCAGGTCTGCCTTCTCCTCCACCTGCACCGCCTCCGATTTCCTCTTCTTCCTCTGAGGTCCCTCCTGAAACACAACATAATTTGTAAAACTTACAATACGAACAATAAAAATAGGATTAATGACATGCTTAGCATTTTGAATACTGGCACAAATTATGCCATAGCTGTCTGGTACACATGGAGGCTTACTTGTTAAAAAAATAAAAAATCTGCACACATAAATCCTCCAATATGTTTCAAAATCTAAACCAACACAGTGACATGTGATAAAATAAAACTATGTCTCTGATGAACTGATATTCGTTTTAAAAGTGGTTCTTTTTTTTTTTTAACAAATCACTGGCAAATAGTAATAATTAGAGATCAAGCACATTCCACACACTATTCAAACGCAGATTTGTGTTTAACTGTACATTTTATTATCATCTTCACTGGTATGAAACTGTTCGCTTATTGCCATTTTAAAGACTGAGGTACAACTTGTGGACCTCTCCTTCTCGAGGTGTCATGGTGGCACACGCTTGTGAAACTTCGGTGGGCTGATGCTAACTTAAATAATGATTGTATTTGCCGTAATACATGTGTAGAACCAACGAGAAATAACTGGTCGGAGTAATGTCGCTCTACTAACAATTCCTTACAGTAGGTTCACCATCAAATACAAAATTAAGACACTGTCCATGTTTTGTGGAATCACCATGTGGGACTAACATGTGCGTTCTGCGCAGCAGCTGAGAGCTAGCTAGCTGCTAATGTGGCTACCCTACTAACCATGTCTGCCTTCGATACATTACGCAGCTACCAAGACATACAGACGAGTCTTCCGCGCTTCGTAAGATCTTTCCTTTGTAAATAACTTAACACTTTTCTGGTTTGGGCGTGTGCACCCGTATAAGAAATTATCACAGAGAGCTTGCTCAGGCCTCGCTAGCTTCTGTAGCTAACAGCAGCCTCACGTACCTTGACTGTCCGGCATGGTCCCCAGGCTATGCACGTACAAGTGGCACTCAAATGAGCTGAAGGCACATATTCTTGATGAAGTGTTTTACTGTCTGTGTTCCAGATACGAAGTCTGCCATCCTGGGCACACAGCGACAAGTACTGTCGTGATTTGGGTGAAAAAACGCAGGGTAGCTGCATCGAAGAACTACCACCGTCGGCCGCCATTTCTGAAGCGCAGCTTGCGTCTGCGTGCTCCGTGGTTTACACAAACACGTGTGGCCCTCAAAGGACATGCGCGTTAGCTCGTCAGGAGCTCCTCCTCTCCCATTGGCTGCTGCCAGACAACGAGCAGGTTGAATCGTGCTGCCTTTAAATTTCCTCGTAACATCCGATGCTAACACAGCCATAGTTGTAAATATCCCACTTTACAACTTGTACCAACAAAATTGCTGAAGTCGTAACTCGGATATGCGAGTTAATTTCATACTTAATAATAGCACAACTTGTTTATCTTTGCATTGTGTTGTAGGGGATTCCCTTGTGTTGTAAAGTGTGCGCTCTGAGTTTTATTACAGCATTGTACTGCTCGCGAACGCGTCATCAAAACAAATGAACTTTTCTGCTGTACGTGGCGGCATTGCGCTGCCATGTGGGAAAATACAATAGCTAAGCATTACTTACACAGGTGCAGATACAGTAAGGTCAAGGCCCAGATACAAGATACCAGATAACTTTCCCACAAGTCACTAAAGTATATGACAGGATGCAAAGCCCTAAATCATGATGATTTATTCGATTATTGTAAGTTATCATAAGAAAGCCCCTCAACCTTTTTTTTCTTTTTAATTACGTTGTTGTGGGTTTCTGTTTGTTCATCCAACGCTGCCTCGAACCTATTTCTCCGTATAGTACAGACAATGTCTAATTAGACTTATTATTATTATTATTATTATTATTATTATTATTATTATTATTATTATTATTATTATCATTATTATTATCTTGTCTTATAATTTTGATATGGCTTTGATTGTATTTGTTATCGTTTCTAAATAAATAAGAAAAAAATGTAGAAAAATACAATGAACCGAACAAATGCGTTTGGAAATCTGTTTCTGCTGCCAAAATAATATCGTGATCATATACGTTACTGTATTAAGCTGCCTTGTAGATAAGCGCCATTAACAGAACAATTTCGTATCGTTTGTGACCCTAATTTGATGCCAAAATAACTTCATATTTGGGTCACATATAACCCAGATCAATAGATTTGCATATTTCATGAAACCTAAAATTAGATTTCTTCGAGGGAATCAGTTTTGGTGCCTTTGGTGCCTTTTGAGTTTGAATTCTCCTATGAAATAAATGTACCAGCAATTAATAGTTTAATTTCTATACTGTATATGTTGTGTGTGTGTATATATATGTGTGTGTGTGTGTGTTTCATAAAATAAATAGGTTTTCATTTTAATACTGGTATTTATTTATTTATTTATTTATTTTAAAAGAACCATTTTTATTTATATTAGGGGATTTTTATTTCCTAAGGCCCCATTTATTCATTCCAGGTTGTATTTTAAAATCACCTTTAACAACATCATAGAAATGTTTACTTTTTTATTTAACATTGAATAATCCTTACAAATAACGGGCCGTGTATTCCTATGTGTAGGACGGGACTTCTACTGGTGACTTTGCATGCTTTCACAGTGTTACCGCCTATGTGAGTTTTCATTTAGGCATATTAGTCGTGATGTCGCCCTCTGCTGGTTCATTTAAACTACTACACCCGTCGCTTAATTATGACGTTGCTCACATGTGCTTGTTCAATGATTCCCGGCTCTGCTTGGTGACCTCGTCGGCTCTGTCAGCGGCCGGGCTGATGAGAAGCGAAAACAAAATGATTAGCTTTTCCACTGCGACGTGATGTAAGTTAAATCATTTCAACATCATTCAGTGTTTTATTTGCTTCTCGGTGTTTATTTCTCAGGTGTACACGCTGTGGCTGTTCTAATTCACTGGATGGGATCTCAGGACGTTCACTTGTAGTTTCTGTCTCACCCTAAGTCATGGCTGTTTATGCTCCCTCCAGACTTCTGTTTATGCACAGACTGGTGACAGTTTGCACATCCAGTCAGAGACACGTGAAACACAGGGATGTACTTGTAAAACTCACTAAAAGTAGAAGGGAGATAAGAACTTTTTCAACCTCTTGTGTGAGATGTAACAACAATGAAGCTGACAGTTCAGATTCCTCACACCTGAGCACCAAGCCGACATCCAGACGAGAGCTGCCGCCCAGGAGCAGGCGACCCCTGTCCCCGCTGGAGAGGATCAGCAGCCTGCTGCCCCAGGATGCCCTGAGCCCCGAGGTGATGCAGCTGAGAGAGCAGAGGCATGAACCTGATGAAGACCCAGACACCCAGCCATCAGTCACACACTCCACACAAGAGGGAAGTGGACATAAGGCGTCTGTTAATGAGGACAGCCCAGAGACACTCCAGGCCTCTGATGCAGCAGAGGAGCCAAACGCAGCATCACTTCATCATCATGAAGGGCAGGTAAGGCCCACTCTTCCTGGGGAGAACTTGCTCGCCTTCGGAGAGATGCTCGTCGCTGAGTATCGTAAAAAGAAGCGGGTGGAGTTCAAGAAGATGTTCCAGCTGGACCCAGGGGTCCGTCTGCAGAGCAGCTGGGGGACCATACCGCACAATGACATCGCCGGGCAGCCTGCAGGTCGGTTCCTGAAGACGAACAGGGGGGTGTCCATCTTCATACGCCGGGCCAGTCTGGAGGATTATGTGCTGTTAATGAGGAGAGGGGCTGCGATCTCTTACCCGAAGGTAGGATACAGTGTTAGTGCATCATAGGCACAAATGAATTCCAGTGTCAGAGTGCCTCAAGGTTCTGACAGATGCTGTGTGTTCTGACCCTCCTCTCTCAGGATGCAGCTACCATGCTGATGATGATGGATGTCACGGAGGGAGACTGTGTGCTGGAGTCAGGCTCCGGGTCAGGGGCCATGTCTCTGTTCCTGTCCAGAGCAGGTCTGGATCCATCATGCTGTCACTGCCTCACTGTAGCTCCCTTCAGTGGAAATGGAAGCACAGAGTTTAAATCAACCCAGTTCTATCAGTGATGTATTTTAAGGAAACACATTGCTATTGTAATACACTGATCAGCCACAACATTAAAACCAGTGACATGTGACGTCCATAATATTCATCTCGTTACAATGCAGTGTTCTGTTAAGCCTTGTATCCTGGCATTCATATGGATGTTACTTTGACCTGTACCACACTCTTAAATGCTGTTGCAGCACAAAATTCGTTAGGTGATTTTAATATTGGGGCTGATCAGTGTATAAGACTGATGAAGAAATCAGCATTTACACATTTGTTTTGAACATTATTGTGATAATTTACATGCACTTTCTCCTACATTTGCCATATTTTGATTATCATCACGATAGGCAAAACACTCAAAAGAAATAATTCAAACAAGCAGAGTCCAGTCTAATTCTGAGTTGATACTTTTGAGTTTGTTTGACAAATTCACAGCCTATAATCAAACTCATTTTTTCTCTACAATTACAACCACAATTTTTTCATTGTAAGCCACAAAAACAGACTAAATTGAGTCACATGTTAATAATAAATGCAATATTTTCAGAAATTTACCAGCCTTATTGTACGCCAGTCAGAGGCGATGTAGTGCTCTGAAAAAATCAGTTTAAATTAGCAACCAAAATGTCCCCTAAATAGTCAAATAAGCTGTTAAATTGACATAATGGGAAACGTTATTAGAGAACTCACATTTGCAAAATAGGCAGCGCATATAGATTTAGTCATTAAATGCACAGTTTAATGTGAAGTGAACTAATAATGAAGCAAAGACGGAGGTTAACAGCGTGAATCAAATTTTAATCCGAACCCCTGCCCCAGAGAATGACTCAAATCCTTCCTGACGCTGCTCATTAGTCTTCATTAAACACCATAAAAAAAAAATCATTTTAATGCTGCATTTAAAATCAAAGCTGTTAGGACGACGCGGAGGAACGCGGCAACAAAAAGTGATCCAGAAAGCAGACTTCAGCAAATCACTGTGGAATGTAACTGACCGTGTTTTTGTTGTTCCCCAGTGGGCTCTAAGGGCAGCGTTCTGAGCGTGGAGGTCAGGGAGGATCACCACAAGAGAGCCGTGAAGAACTACGAGCGCTGGAGGAAGTCGTGGAGTGTGCGACGAGGGGAGGAGTGGCCCGACAACGTCCGGTTTCACATCGCTGACCTGGGCTCGGCCTCGTCGCTCCTCGCCGGTCGGGGGTTTCACGCGGTCAGTGCCTGGTTTAAAGATTCTGCATTTGTTCAGCAGATATGGTCTGTCCTAACAACATTACATGAACGGATGTGTTAGGACTCTGCTCATTCACCGGGTGGGTTCTCTGTGTTGCAGGTTGCTCTGGACATGGTCAACCCTCAGCTGGTTTTACACAACGTGCTTCCACATCTGCACCCCGGAGCTGTGTGTGCCGTCTACCTCGCCAAGTGTGTAGCTCTGCTGTTCGTCAGCCTTCAAACCAAGTGTTTAAAATCATTAGTTTGACATTGTGGAAGAAACACCTAGAAGTTAAATACCACTCATATGTATGGTCGTCAACTTTACTTAGCACTAACAACGAGAATAGGAGAGGTTGGCTGTGAAAAGATTAACAAAATCCATCTGTCAGTGCTTCTAAAACTCATTAAGTGACTTGGAAAATCTCAGTTTTTATCTGAAGAACAACTTCCAACAAGTTATGGTCTCCACTGGTTGTCTGGGACTCTCACAGATTCAAGCAAATCACTGCTCCAGCTAAAAAACTTTCTCTGTGGAAGATCAAGTGTTGTTTTTAAACTTCCTTTTTAAAAAAAAGAAACATACAAGATGATAATTAGTGAGTTGTAGAAATACTGGTAGTCCAAAAACAAAAATATTTATCAGGCAACAGTATGGATAGCCAGGGCAGGTACAGAATTATAAATGGTGGTATGTGTTTTTTAAATTCAGATAAAGCCAGGCGAGCTGATATCCAATTGTCGTCACAAAGCAAATAGCTGTCCAGCAATTCCTTTTTAACCCACTAAGGCCAACAGTTGAATCATTACATACATCAATTGTAGCTATCCTAAAAAAAAATAGCTGTACATGTTTTTTTTTTGTAGAGACCACACATATTTAGTCAGTGGGTCCTTTTGTTGTGTAGAAATACCATTTGGATCATAGATGTGTGTATAGGTCCGGCTGTTGGTTCATGAAGTCACACAACCCTGCTTCAAACTAAGGCCTGAACACTTGGAAGCAGATGTGATTCAGTACATTTTTTAAATACAATTTAACCAGTTCTTTTATTCACAACTTTTTTGAGAATATAATGTGGGATGTATATAGTGTGATGAGGCTACATAAGTAATCAACCTTGCAAATGAACCCTTAATTGTCCTGTTTAAATATACGATGTCCAACATTGCAACTATCAACAAAAATAACCAAAAAAAATCTAGTCATTGCTGCAACAGAGGCCTCCTTCATCAACATCTAAGCGGTGAAACATATTTTGGCCCCTTTTCCTTCCTACATTTCGGCTTTACAGGGTTGGGTTAGACATGTTTAGATAGTGGCCTAAGAGGGACATTCAGATTATCTTTAATACATAATGATGTAATCTAAGCAGAAACAAACAAAATTAAAAAAACAGCAGACTTCATATTTAGTGTCCTGGCCGTGCTGACATGCTCATACTACAGCCTTTGTTCCCACATGACAAAAAAAAAAAAACATCTGTTTGCACAAGGCAGCATGAAAACACTACATTAGTTTTCATCACCAATGCAGAATTCAGCATGACGAGTACAAACTTTCCTGACCCTCATAAGGTTTTCCTCCTGACAGTTTACCATCACATTAGAGAACTCACCAAGGCGGTGTGCCACGCTGTAACTTGAATGTTTACTCAAAATCGTCATAGAAAAACTGGAGCCATTATCGTCAACTTTAATTTAGATTGTGTTATACATGCAGGACCTGCTGTCTGACTCTTCCTCTGCAACAGTGTCACACAGGTCATCGACCTGCTGGAGAGTCTTCGGTGTTCGTCGCTCCCTCTGCTGTGCGAACAGATCATGGAGTTTCCGTCCCGGGACTGGCTGGTGGTCCCCGCCCTGAAGAAAGACGGCAGCTACTGCACCAGGAACGCTCCATTCCTGGGTGAAGACCTGAGGCAGGAAGATGACACATCAGATGAGCCCGACAAAGGTGAACAACTACACATTGCTGTGAACACTGATTGTTTTTGAGCACCCTCGCTTACATTTTGATCCTTTCAGAGGAGTCAAGCACAGAGGAAGACCCCGACCCAGCGTTTGGGAGCGTTCCTTACATCGCCAGACCTCATCCTGAACAGATGAGTCACACAGGTCAGAGGTCACCACACTTCTAGTGCCGGTTTCTGTATGACATTACAAGGAAATGCTCATTGTGTCCGTTTGCTTTTTTTTCAGCATTCCTGGTGAAAATGAGGAAGTTATGCGTTTAGCTGTGAAGAACCCTGGACAGAAATGAATGTTACTGGTTTACGTGGAAATAATTTAAAATATCATAAAATAATTGAGATCAAAACTTGCATTTTGGTGTGTTTTTAAACAGATTTTAATCTTGTAAATGTAAAGTCAGAAATTCCAGACAGTCACGTATTTCAGATTCAGTGACATGGACTCTGTAGGTCACAAGAGATGCTGCAACGGTAACGTGAACACATAACGTCATTACCTGTGTGTAACGAGCAACGCTTCTTCAAAACAAAGCTCATTAAGCAAAGTTAAAGGCATTAAAGCAGGATGAAGGAGACACTTTCAAGATCAAGCCTGTATTCTAAACTCCTGAGGCAGCGGTGGATCATCAAACAGGCACGTTGGCAACAAAACAAAAAAAACACAACCAGGTGATCTCCTGAATGCAACAGACTGTTTGAGGACATGGATCCAAAGATAAACTTATTTACTGACAAATCCTTTGAACATCGGCGGGAAAACAAGGTGTCACAAAATGCATTAAATAAATAAATAAATAAATAGAATTCATCAACTAATAATTACAGTAACAGTCTCTTGGCACAATCACATAAAGAGACAACTTCTAGACAGTAATCAGTCTTATTTCACGTCTCCATTAGAAGAGCATGTACTGAATTAAGTAGCGTAGTTGAAATACGTTGTGTTGACGTGTGTACTTGTTTGTATTGAAGGAGATTTTCACATTCAGGCCTTTACTCCAAAAGTGCGATTACATCCAGCAAGGCATTAACACACAGAACAGCTCTGTTGGTATGTAGACGATGGAGGGGAAAGTGCTGAGGTGGCGTGATGCTCTACTCCTCGTTGATCCAGTCCATGAAGATGCCATATGTGGACTCGCAGGAAGCATCATCCCCTAATAAAGAAGAACAAAGAATTATAGCTTAGTACTAGCAAGCAACCCTAAATCTGTCCTGTCAGTCTGTCACGTGTGACTGCAAAATAAATATGAATAAAGTATACCATTACTGCAGATGAAGGTCTCCGTAAGCAGACATTAACAAGGCAACTTTTAAAAACACGCTTGAACTGATTTCTATTCTTGGATTTCATATTCAGCCTTTTTCTCATAATGTCGTAAGTCAGTGGGAGATAACACAACCTTGTATTCTGTGACACCCTCCGAGCTGTAATCCAGCTAAATCACCTCTATCTGAGGTATGAGCTAGAAATGAGCCACTCTTCCTTGTCGAGGGTCTCTTTTCTCTTATTTTTTTAGACACTCCTTCTAAAACAGTACTTATGTTCAAGTGTGGGTCATTACGAGCTTCTGAATGTCAGGTTCCCATGTCTCTGTAAAGGACATAACATGGTGTATCGAACCTACACCTGTATGCAAAAGCCTAGCACCCCTGGGCAAATTATGTATTATATTGATCTGCTTAATACAACCCTTATAGTGAACACAAACCAGCTGGAATTCCTAAATCTTCAATCCAGAGCATTTGTCTCCACCTTCTGGCAGTGAGAGTAATTGCACAACAATTGTTGACATGTTTACATGATAAATGCCTCACTGTCGATACATTTTTAATTAAAAAAAAAAATTCTCTGTAATCCTTCCTCTGAACATCAAGTTTCTTATCTGGAGCATCACAAACTTTTCTTCAACGTCCACTACAGATTCCACTTCCTCCTAGCTGCTATAGCCTGCCCCATCTCCACTCCTACAGCTGCTCTCCTCTTCAGCTCTGGCAAAGCAATCACTGCTGGTTGGTATAAAACACATCCCTATCCGCTAGCCAGCGCCGGAATATTGGCACACAAACCAGATTTAAAACTGTGGTACACAGTGAAATACAGAAGGACTGACCCGGCACTGATGGTCTCAATCAGCCCTGTGTGAACCTGTTTTCCAAATGCTTGAATGCAAGACGTTTATTTATATGCTAGTCCCACACTCCAGCTAAAATATAGTCCAGGAAAAGAAACCCCATCGTGACCCTGTGTATTTCAGCTTTAAACCTGCCAAAACACAACGCTGCCTCTCTATCTGTTGGCCAACATTTTACTAGAACTGTCACTAGACAAAACCGAGCAGCCAGTTGATTGAAGCTTACGATGTGAGAGGAGATGCAGGTTCATGTCAAGCAGGAAGGTACCGAGAACTAGAGCTGCATGATATAGTGTATCAGAGACAACACTGTGATTCACAGCCACATCGGCAGTATCGAAGTAACCCTAACACATCGTGTGCAAATGCTATTTGCTGTCTAACACACAAAAAAACCTCTAATACGTAAAATTATCCGTGAATAATATACAAGACAAATCTGTCTGTGGAACTGATGCTCTAGAATTGCTGTTCCTAGCGCATGAGTACATCATTATTCTGATAGTAACTGTCTGGATCTCGGGGTGCTCTGAACAGAATTCTCATACCAAATTAAATGTTGCGTACTGAATGGTTCAGAACAAAAGCTCTACACTCTACAGACTAGTCAGACCTGATACCTACTAGGCACCTCCTCAGAACAAGAGCAGCAATAATGTCGCTGGCTTTTAATCTCCGCTGCCTTCCGGAGCGAGGCTGCAGCCTTGGGTGGGGTGATCTCCACACTCAGTGCAGAGACGAACGGTTGTGGATAAGCGCTGTGTGATGCCTGCACAGACGATCCTCTGGAGGTAGAAGAAGAAACTGGACTGCGATGTAACTTCTTGCCACGAGTACAGAGGGCACAGGAGAGCGGGGAGGCTAAGGGCCCGCGAGGGAAACGGATGTTGTCTTGATCTGTGTACAGCCGCTGAGCACCGCTGTGGTGAAGGGACCGCTGTCGCTGCCACGCAAAGTGTGAGGACACAATGGCCATCACCTAGAGGACAGAGGCAGGGAGATTCAGTCCAAGAAATAAATAAACACAGCAAGAACAAGAAAAAATCATGTCACTGCAGAAAAACACAACAGAGATGGAAGGCCTGGCTTTAAACCAAAGCAATAAAAATTGTACTGTGCAGCAAAAACAAGACCCTTAAGAAATTCCCAGAGAAACACCATTTATCAGTCTCCTCAGGCAATTATACTTGTGTGTACCTCTTCACAGCAGCGCTTGCTGACAGCAGCTCTGTACTCGATGCGCGCCCACAGCTTGTCTCGATCTTTGAGGAAGCGGGTAAACTGTTTCCTCCAGTTCTTGCCCAGAGCCCACGGAAAAATTTCATACTTGCTCTCCTCCTCGTCCTCCTCCATGGTGTTGGCAAGATATCTAAAGATGCAAAATGAGATGTGTTCAGGGTTACAGTTTGTCTACCAAAAAATATCAACTGGTGTACAAGCAGGAACACTGAAGATTTGCTTTACAGAGCAGAAATACATTGGCAGAATTTTGAGCTGCTCCTTGAGCTTACAGTGCAATGAAAAAATTCTTCCTGGTGTACTCAGCAATAGTGAAGCGAGCCCTTTTGAAGTACACAAAGGTCATGGCCAGGAGGTACTGATGAATTAGAGGGAAAAGATGTAGTCAGATCAGTGTAAGCATCAAAAGCCTTCAGAAAATTTTGCTGCTTTCATCAAAGCAGTGGTCTTACCTTGTCCGTCATTATATAGCAACAGTCCATCCTCAGAAAGTCTTGAATCAGGGCATCATCTGTAACCAAGCACAGCTGATTAACATGAGCCAAATGCACAAGACTACTCAAGTGTGTTTGACTTAAAACATTCTGTTGAGTTAGGGTATCTAGTCACCAAAAAGTCTGAAGTACGATGCCATTTCCTGCCGCTGGATGACAGTAGCTGGATGCTTGGTCTTTTTGGGAAGATACACGTCACACTGGCTTGGTGTGATCTTCCACAGTGAACCCTGGGTGTCTTGACCGTTGGCTCTGTTCACACAGAGATGTCTTCTGATTTGGTGTACATTTTTGCGTTTGACCCGGAGACTTACAGAGGGAGGAGTCTTCATCATGCTTCTGTTTGGATCATCTGTGGGTGTCTGCGCTCTGACTGTAAAAACAAAAACAGTGTGAGAACTGACCAATTGACTTGATTCAATATAATCTGAGTATACATAATTTAACTGATCACAAATTTGTGTACGTCATTAGACTATCACCTCTACTAGTTCTACCATCCTCAATTGTGTCGCCCCTGTCTTACAGACATGTGGTAAAACCTTGTTTTAAGAATAGTTTTTAGTTCATTATGAGCAAAGCTTGTATGATCATATTGCTTCACCTTTAGCTGTGTTTCCGTGGTTTTCCCTGATTCCTGGCATGAGCTGTCCACACACAGTAGAGACAATCAACTGGTTTTACCCTATGTGACAGAAATCTATGCATTCTCCTCTAATTTCTGACCACTTGATCAAAATGTATTACTCACGAGTAAATAAAACCCTGATTTACAAAGCTGGTTAAATCGTGAAAATAAGTCAGTGATGTTAAATAGCTTAGCTGCAAACTCAAAGCATAATTTTGCTTGTTTATCACATACAAACATTTATTAACATAGGTCAATTTTAACCAGTTCTCTGATTTTTCAGCATCTTCGCAGCTAAGCTAGCCGCTACACAGCTAGCTAGCTAAACGGTAGCTCTTTGTAGCTAACTTAACCAATACTCCATGGAGAGGTTTTCCGCGCAAGCTCTGGTTCAGTTCACTTGGTAAAGACGTTTAAAAATTACTTGTTACCTAAACGTTATCTTAAATGACAGCAACCGGAGTCCAAGTTCACAACTCGACAAATCTACCTTTGGTTTAATTTAAGCGGCGCAGAGTTGAGCAGCTAGCTAAGAAAACCAACCAAACACGCAGACTTCACTTTGACCAAAGTTAGCATCTGACACTCACTGGGACATTTTAAATAAATAACGCTCGTGAAACAGGGAGCTACAGCTAACACTTAACAAGTTTAAAAAGACTAAATTGAGAGTAAAGCGGTGGATTCAAGACACTGACCAGACGGGGTGGAAGGTGACAGCGCGCGGGCGGTTGTGGAACGCGCTTCAGCTTCTGCGCCAACCTGTGCACGATGACGCGGGGGCGCGCACACAAGTCGCGCCTCTCTTCTTCTTCTCCTGTGAAAGGTGAACCACCATCACCTCTCTGTCTGCAGCTGGAGTGAAAGTGTCAGGATAGCTAAGCACATATTTAAATAACGATAAAACTAGCACAGAATAGAAACAATGATAAAAGTATTAACACTGTATACTCTCTGACAGGCTTTTAAAGATCCATCTCTTGGACTTAAAAGCTCATCAAGTTGATTTTTTAAAAAAATGCTTATAGTCCCTTGATGCTTTGACATTGCTTAGATGTAACCATAGTGAATATATAATACATGGATGTAGCTTCTGGGTCTGAAAAGTGAAGCCATGGAAGTGGTTTAAACCTGCATTATTTCTAACAGCCAGCAGGGGGCGACTCCTCTGGTTGCAAAATAAAGTCCAACCGTGTAAAAGGCTTAAAGAAAATGACCTGATCTGCTACCACTGAAATGCCTTATCGGCTAAATTGCTAAGTCTCAAGATCTTTTAAATACAGCATGATGTTTATTTTGTAAATGATGGTCCCATTTACAATGAAATCAAGCAGGGTGCGCTTTAGGGCATGGCTATCTTGTGATTGGCAGGTTGCTATAGTAACTCTTTGTGTGGTGTCCTCGAATCTTCAATCAGAGCCTCCTCTTACTCACACCAAAAGATCAAGATGGCAATCACCAAATGTTAAACATAACAGTAGCCATCAACAAAGTAGAATTTGGGACAACACAACAAAGAGCAACGCAACAGCCAACATGTGTCCTGATGATGCTTCCTTGGGAGTACGGTGGATACAAAGAAGCTGAAACGCCTGATAAGGGGGTTGTTTCTGTGCCTGCCACTTTGCGTGTTTACATGTCTGCACTTATATCGAGCTTTTCTACCTGTTTTTTGTGGGCATGGCCACTCCTTCCTGCGCCTGAGTGACCTGCAGCTGGCACATCTGTGTGTCAGTAGATCATCAGCTCCAGCAGTGTATCTGTCCCAGCTTTCCCTTCCAGTCACCCACTGTGGCAGCTAATGCTCTCAGACGTTTAATTCTAGTTTTACGTTGAGTTCCTTGTGTTTGCTCTGACTAACATCGGTTCAGCCTGTCCCTCAGACTCAACCTCGCCTGCCAGCCTGCATGCTCAGCTCTACCCAGCCATCTGCCTGCCCATTCACATCATCAGCCATGCTCGCCTGCTCAGCCTCTCCTCTGATTACACTCACCTCCGAACTCCAGCCTGCCTGCTTACTCTTGACCACTGCTCCGAGCTTCCATCCTCCGCCAGTTCATCCACTGGATCCCCCCCTTTTCTTATCCACTTCAGTCCTCTCTACCTCCTTGCCCTCAGTCAGCCATTCTTCACAATTTTAAACTTAAATTTTTGTAGTATAAACCTTTTAAAGCTTCTTCTGAAACTGTGTGCTGTGTTTAGGTCCACTTGTTGCTGAATCCTAAAAGGTCAAGTCTGCTTTTTTTTTTGCACACAGACTACAAATTGATTTATTAATTAGTGTGCATAATATCAGTGCATAATATCAGTGTACTGTGCATAATATCATCAGTACAATCTTCTTCAGGGACTGTCGCAGGTACAAATGATACTTTCAAACCTCGTACTGTTTATATAGTATATATAAAGCTCTCTTAACAATGACGGTTTTATACAGATGATAGTATATATTTAAATACACTATTTTTTTAAACAAATGAAATAAACAAAAAAAAAGAAATATGAGCAATATATACAAATGAAAGAAAACAAATAATTGAACATAATAAAAACAAATAATTATGTAATGTATTCAGTGTGACTAGACACAAAAGGCATCTCTCCTCAACAGGATGCTGTTATTATCTGCCCACCTTCTTCTGGTCTATACTGAAGTGCATTAAATATGCATTTCTGCCATCTACACTATATAGTGCTTAGCTTATAATTAAATAAATTTCTCTTGTCTCTTTTATTTTAGATTTTTTTCACAATTTGATTCAACTATATTATTTTATTTTAATGACATAATTAAAGATAAAGACATAAAAGGAAAGACTACTACACTAATCTCTACCTTTTTTTAATCCCAGTGTGTACCAGAGGTAACGAGAGGCAAAGGTATTTCAGGTTACATTAAAGATTACCTCACTGTTCCAGTGAACTGATGCTACATATAGAAGTTAAAAGAAGATCCGTGAATTGCCAAAAATACCTTAGTGAGTTACTAATTTAGGCTTTTTCGATAAAATGGTTAATTTTAGCATTACAGTGGTATCCATTAACAAATGTAATATTCATATAAACTGCATTAAACTGCTAAAACAACAGAACCTATGATGGTGTTTTCTAATGCAACTGAAAATGAAGCACTTTTATCTTAATGTGCAGATTTTTTCTTCTTCTTTTTTTTTCTTCTCTTCTGTCCAGGGTCTAAATAGGGAGATATTGTTTTGCAGGCTATAAAAATCCACCTGAGGCCAGCAGCTCTCATTACCCAAATGAGCTTATGGTCTTACAAGTAGGTGAGTTTTATTTGCTTTAACGTGGCATATGTTCAGGCTGAGGAGTTCACTGAAAGCCCCACTAATCCTCTCAGCTGCTTGTCCTTTGTAAGATACAGAAGGATGTGTTTCAGAGCACGCTACAAGGAGTTTTTGATAAACATGACCACCAACCTATGGATTTATTTTGGCTATCTGTGACAGACGGAAGCAATTTGTAAAATGGATTTATCAGAGTTTTGTTTTGGCAGCCGCATTGTGGAGAGGAATCTTATCAGACTCAACGAACTCAGCCATCTGAAAATGACGGACACAGCAGGTGGCTAAGGACCTTGGTTTTTTTTTTTTTTTTTTACATCTTTCACTGCTGTGTCGGTGTCTTCAAGAACGCATAAAAATCAGCTTGTATTCGAAGACATCAGAAATGGGCTGCTCACCATCCAAAGGTAACAATTTTGGCACTCTGGGTGCCATGAGGAAGGGGAGAATGCTACCCCCTGCACCTCTAGAAAGCCCCAGAGATTCTCAATTTGAAGTTGGAGAGAATCATAGCTCGCCTGGATCAACAGATGGGGATACAAAGGAGAAAAAGGCAGCTGGTCAAACCCAGGTATTTCAGAAAGAGGCAAACATGACACCACAAAAAAAGAGATCCGTGACTGAGCAATTGAACATGGAAGCAGTGAACATGGATAAATTAGGGAATCAAGGAACGGACAGCGTCACAGTGTCACAGAGGAAAGAGAAAAACGTTGACAAGCAAGATGTAGCAGAGAAAAAGTCCATCAGAAAACCAAAGAAAAATACAAAAGGTACAAAAGGTCCTAAAAAGAAAGACAAGGACAAAGACAAACTATCTTCAGAGCAGAAAGTGGACTTTCCGGAGCCTCTGGTAAATGCTCACCAAGCTGCTTATGCCTTTTTGAACCCTAGTATAAACAAATATGATGTTCTACTTGGACTTTTGGAACAAGCAACTCAAACTCAGGTGTCTGTGCAGCCTATGGTTGCCTTTATGGCTCTACGCTACGAGGGAATAATTCAGGGACTTGAAGAGATGGCAGATGAAGGAGAAAAAGTTTTAAAAGAAAATGGAGAGCATCTTGCCTGGCCAAGCCAAATGAAAAACCTCTCATCCTCTGCGCCTCTGAAGTCTGGCTCTGCTAATATTGAGCCCCCACCGGATTTGTTACAGCAGCTGCTTCAGTACACCACACAGAGAATGCGAAATGTGAGCCAGACTGTTGGTGGAATTGGGGACTCTGCTCTGGAGGAGGCAGTGGAGTACTTTGCCTCAGTCTCAGAGCTTTTAGAGGAGAAACTGAAAGTCAAACGTGCAGTAGAGACTAGGTTAATGCGACTCCTAGCTCGCATTGAAATGGCCTCTTTGCGCAAGCCTGGGCCAGAGGATTCTGCCCTCTTTAGTGAGGACAGTGGAATTGGAGCTGAGAGTGAATCCCTTGCTGGATCTGAGAGACGCCATAGACGAGAAAGTTGTGAGTCTACTGGGACAAACAGAACTACTCCTGTCAGTCCTATGGGATACACTTCCATGAACATTAGACGGGGAGGCTCAAGGCAAAAGCTTTTGAGTCAAATAAGTCCAAGTGTTTCCCTCACCTCACTAAACTCACTGGGTTCTACGTGTACCATCATGGCTAATGACCAAAGAGATTCATTGCTTGGATCAGTCTCCTTAGATGATGGGGAGGATGATGATGATGATGAGGAGGAGACAGACAGAGGTGTGGGAGCTGTGCAAGTAGCATTCAGAAAGCGATCAAATTCTTCACCTGTAGACCGTCAACAACAACATCCACGCCGCCAACCCTCAAAGCGCATAGAGACTCCTCAAAATGCGGAAATGACTCTTAAACTAAAAAATGCTATTAGTGGTAGGATACAGTTTGTTCCCTCACAAAACTCTAGTGCCAAAACAAAAGTAGCAGGCAGCCCAAAAACTAATAGACGAGACTGGACGGATGGAGCGGTACAATCTCCAAGAAGGCCTCAAACAGCAGCACCTGTTCGGAAGGCAGTGGTGAAAAAGACCCCAGTGACAAGAGAGCAACGTTCCCGGTCAGCTGAATCCTTGCGGAGCAAAGGGGAAGATCCTACTTTGCTTGAACTAGAAAGGACACAGAAGGATTTAAACCAGAGGTTGCAGAAGATGGGTAAAAACAAAGTTGGAGGAAACACGAGAACTGCTCAGTTTAAACAAAATCAAGGACCCTCTCCAGCACAATCTCCAGCAAGAATTCGCAAGCATCCCTCATTAGGTAAGGACAGCAATCCCCAAGCACTGAAAGACAAAGCAGGCCTGACAAAGTGCAACAGTGAAAAACAGCAGATGACGAGTGATGCGGAAGAAGAAAAACTAAAAGACAAGAAAGCATCCAATGATCTTATTAAAGCTACCCCACCACCTAGCCCTCCTGCATCACCCCGACCATCTTCTGGCCTCTACAGGGGAAGGAATTCTGTCAAAAAACTGATTGATACCTTCAGCCAAGGAATAGAGGAGCTTGACGGTCCTAAAGTTTTGGGACCTCTCAAAGGTGTACGAAAGTGTGGTGTTCCAGTTTTACCTGGTTTAGGAAATGTAGAGGCTGTGCTTAGTGCAGGGTTAACCAGCTGCAGGCCCGAATCCATTTCATCGGAGAAAACAGAGTATTTTGATCTGGACAGTCTTCCTCCACCTCCACCGGAAGTGTTAATGGACAATTCTTTTGAAAGTGCCCAGAGTGTTTCAACTGGTTCAACAGTAGATGGGGCTACAAAAGGAAGGTCTCCTGTATTAAAAAGGGCTGCAATATCACAACGTTTGAGGGCCTCAGTTCAGTCAGTGACAGTGTTGCCAAGCAAAGGGGGATTGCCACAGGCTTCTAAGGTTGTTTCCTTTGCTAGAGTGGACCAACAAGATACATCTGATCTATCAAAGGTCAGCCGACCAGATGTTAAGACAGAGACAGACCCAATAATTGAAAAGAATGCCTTATGCCAACAACCTGGAAACCTAAGAAACTCTTCAGGCTCTCAGTTAGAGCGATCATCAACAAGTCACATGGCAACATCTGTCAATCAAGGAGAATCAACTGACATGCAAGATGGTGTCAACCTTTCAGTGCCTGGGCCTACCAATACAGTGTATACAGTGCCTCCTTCCACAGCAGTCACCAGCCAACCATCTGCCACCCCACCTGTGTCTAGAGGGCGAATGTTACCTTCCACACCTTCAACACCAAACAACTTACATCGAAGACTTCCCAGTCCCCACAGTTTCAAAAAGCCACCTACTCCACCGTCTTCTACTAGCCCCCCTGTTAACAGGAGGCTTCCAACACCACCAGCTGTTCAAAGGAGACTCCCCAGCCCACCTGTTCCAAAGCAGAACATTTTAAATTCAAACCCAACCACCTCGTACCCTTTCAAAGCACCGTCTCCACCAGCCTCTCCAAAACTACAACGGTGGTCAAGGGAGAACAGTACAGAAGATGTATCTAGTACTCGTATGATCAGTAATGCTCGTTCAGTCTTCTGCCCTGCATCTCCGTCCATGTTTGAGGCCCAGCCTTGTTCAGTTTCCCAGCCTCATCAAGCATGGACCTCCTCCAGAGTCGCTTTTCTCTCTCGTACTTGGGGGGGCCGTGGAAGGTTTCCTGTATCTGTCCAAGGGCCAAGACCCTTTGTCCGGCGCAGCCAATCAGACCGAAGGCCAAGTCTATGTCTACCACCACGGTCACAAGGCATCTCAGTGGCTGAGACTTGTGGGAGTGAGCCATCAATATGTTCACAGGGGTAAGTTTTATCATTTCCTAATGTTACATAATCTTAATCCTGAAACATGCACTGACTGTTTCCTTTCATAGGCAGCTTAATTTCATATAATATTGTGGAAATGTTTCTAATGTCTCCTGGGTAAGTTGGTACTAAGTTTAAATGAAAAATGGGACTTGTTAGTATTGTACAGACTCACATTTTGTCCTCACGGAAAGAACCAGGAAAACAGTAGTAGGTACAAAGGAGATAAAACTGAATACATAGGTTAGTGAGTTTATAAGTGGCAGTAAATATCCAAAAGTTACAGAAAGGCAGCATTGGTCCCTCAAAGTTTGGACTTCAGTCTAAGAATTAACGTACATTCCAGGTCCAAGGCACAAGCAAGCTGTTACAAAACGTCCAGATAGTAACAAAGTGTTGTCATCAATATGTCACAGTGAGGCTTCTTGCTCCGTTCAACACTGGCTGACACAAATACAGTTTGTGTTTCTGCTGCGATGGTGAACAGAAAATGTCGATTTGAAAGCCAAAATATAATACACTAACATGATTATCAGTCTACTGTGTCTAACTGATATGACATTCATCATCATTCAATGAATGAACCTGTTTTCTATTTGAAAGACATCAGCTTGGAATTATCAGATACAGTAGTATCTTAAGGTATGGAGCAAATTAATCTCTGCACCCCTGCTATTGCTGTTTTAAAATCTGATTCTCAAGTGAAGGGTTTATTTCTAAGATTAAGTATGTTTTTTTGTTTGTTTGTTTTTGCACCTACAAGATGTGGTCTCGTGATGTGTTCACAGTCTAAACTGCAAACTCTAAACTTCTGTTTACAATTGACTCAAACCTACCTGCCCCACTTTAGTAATTGCTAATGACAACATCCTCCATTTATTCTTCTAGGCTAGATGATGAACCAACCAGAGACCAAGAATTATGGGGAAGCCAATCGGACCTCAGAGCTTCATCACGCTCTGCGTCACACCCGGACTTGTGCGTTGTTGGACAGGCCTTGCACAGGGACTAAAGGGGCCAGTAGGATTATGGATTAGCAGGGCCTTACAAAGGATTTAAGGTGGGGGTGTTTATTCCACTGGGAAGAGAGGAAGAGCTAATTCTATCCACTCTGCTGCTGTAACACACCTCCACAATGTTTATATTGCAGTGTGTTTCCATTTTTATTAATTGGACTGACTGTGCATTTCCACTAACACAGTGTCTGTGCATGAACATGCGCTTGTGTTTCATGTTTACAATATACAGAGTTCATCTTCTGGTTACAGAGGGGTGTTGTACTCTAGATTGTTCAGCTAACTCATTACTGACGCCTTTGGAAATTGACCATGCATTGCACAAGGTTACACAAGTTTACCTTTAGTTCATTGAGCAGGTTAAATCATTAAAATTCAAAAAACATACAGAGTTGGTGGTTCAGCAGTCTGAGGTGTCCTCTTCAACTTTTATCCCTTAAAAAAAAAAAGAAAAGAAATAGTTAAATATTGTGGATTAATATAAAATGGAGCAGTATTGACAGATGACTGACAAATTTGCCAAATCATTGAATGAACTGAAAGTAAATCAGTTATGCAAACCATTCCACAAGCCAATTATTTGAAATATGTCAAAGGATTAAAAAAAAAAGGTCCAAGCTGTAATCATGAAATATGAACTGGTTGTAATTGATCATATTTATTTGATTTCAGGGAGATGTTTATGATTTTTTTGTTTTTTAATCAGCTGTTATTCTATTTTCATTTTTTTAAAACTTTGTTTTTGTTTTTTTAAATAAAAAAGATTTATATAAATTTTCCATCCTGTCCATCTGTTATCAACATTAACTGCAACAAACCCTCAATGAGGAATAAAATGATAAACATGTCCTACTAGCTTATGGGCTTCATTTAAAGCAAATCAGCAACTGTATTTCCTCATGTGGCCAGTACTTAATTATAACTGGTCTTTGGGCGTAATCCTAACATCGTGTCACACAGGTATACTGTTTACAATGCTAAACACACACGCTAAAATTAGCTCAGCCCTGAATACAAAGTGAAACTGACGGGAATGTCATAAGTTCAACATTGTTTTGGTTTTAAGCTAGACTCGTGGACAAATTAAACATTTTCCCTGATGATAGCACTACATGAGGAGACAGAAAATCCTTTCTATTGTAATTACCACTTACTGTCTAGTAATTACAAGATTTCAAGATCCAAGTCTTGAAGTTTTGAGATATTGTTAAGGTGATTATCGATCTTTGCTACTTGAGAGGTGACCTTTTTGTTGTGCACGAATAGATGAATTGACAAGTATCAGAATTATTCTAACACCAAATTACTTTGACACCGCAGAAATCTTACAGGATCCATCCATCCATTATTTATGCACCGCTTAATCCTCACGAGGGTCGCGGGGGGCTGGAGTCTATCCCAGCTTAGGGCTACACTTAGAGACAGACAACCAAGCACACTCACATTCACACCTACAGACAATTTAGAATCACCAATTAACCTCAACATATTTTTGGACTGAGTGGGAGGAAGCCGGAAGGAAGCCCACGCTGCAAACTCCACACAGAAAGATCCCAGGCGTCCTCACCGGGACGCGACCTGGCGACCCTCTTGCTGCGAGGCAGCGATGCTAACCACCGCCCACCTTGCAGCCCTAATGTTACAGGATCCTCATGCAAATTCTGGTGTTTCAGTTCGTGCCTCAGCAACAGCAAACAGGGATTTACACTGTGGGCAGCAACTTCAGCCTGTGTTTGTTTACATTTGAAAAATTTAGCAGGCCCAATTAGCTAGTAAATGTTCCTTTCTGCCGTGTTCCACTGAATGTACTCTCTCAGTGAATTACTTTGCTACTAAAGAAATCTTTAAAACCTGATGATTCCAAGGCAACCTCTGAAGCATTCTAATTAATGCCCTTTTAGGCTGCATTACTTCATAATTTATGGTGCAGGGGTGATCCAGATGTAAGACTACTAAGAGGCTGGAGGAGCCCATGTGTGTGTGTTGAGGCCGGTGACTGAGTAAGGTACTCCAGGCTTGTGGTGGAAACTGAAGAGGCCTGTAGGATCTCTTCTTTATCACACTGCGAGTCACATCACCCACTCACTCCACTCGGCTATTCATTCTGCAGATTCACATGTCTGTGTCTGCAGCCCATCTCATAACCGACTTCACTCGTCACCTAGCGTCCCTCGGCTTCTCATTTATATCTCTAAGGAACATTAGGGACATTTAGACATACACTGATTATAACACGCAGGTGAGACGAACAGAGCCCTTATCTGCTAATTATTTAGCGTCTCGTAATAATGAGGAAAGGTTAAGGTGGTAATTATTTACTGATTTACATGAGAGGACGATGCAGTGGTGCTACCTGATTTAATGTAATGAATATGAACTCGAAAATTAGTTTTTCCCCACGATTGATAACCCCCATAACCTTTCATTTTTGTTAAAAATTAATATTAAGTCAAAATTACAACATACCTTTTGTGTTTTTATTTTATGTTGGTAATGCAGGAAACTATCACAGACCACACAGCTGCTTTGAGATAGTAAATCTAAAGTTAATGCATAAAACAATATATTAATATGTAAGGATGCAAATG